AACAGCACATAAAATGCACTCCTTAATAGATCACCTTAATTTAAAACCTTTGCAGTTACTCTCATTCATCTGATTTTCATCCAGGCAAATAACTAAAGTTGTCATTATCCCTTGGAGGTGTAAGAATGCAGAATATTAATATTAGGTTTGGAGAGCACTGCATTCATGCCCTGCCCAAATTCCTTCTGCTAGAAAACATTCACTTTGCCAGCTTCTAGCACATTGAACAGAAATTTTCATATACTATCTCTCATATTTCTTGATTCAATAGCCACAAATTAATATTAAATTTCAAATTAATATTAAATTTCAAATCCCTCTAATACATTCATAGGCTTCAGAGTTTCTAAGTGTTGATATCAACAAAGCATGATTAGGACTCAAATGCATTTTCAAATATCACAGTATTTTAACTATAAAATCTTGGGTTTGGTGATTTTTATTTTGGCTTTTGGGGTTTTTTTTGGTAAGAAATACACATCCTAAAATGGCAAGAGATTGATCATTATTAATTTCTGATGCTCAAAAATCTATACAAGCTAAAACAGAAGTTGCAGGGTTAATTTCACTATTTTACTTTACATATCAAGAATAATCAGAGCCAAGAGACATTTTTTAGCTTAAGGAGAACTGTAATTCCCTGAGAAAAAAGTAATTTCACCTTGTCACTGATTTTTTAATTTTCCTTTTCTAAAGGTTTTTGTTTCGATGTTTTTCTTCCTCATAGTGTACTTGGCAGTTCCCCTAGGTAGCTACTCCCACTGGCTTTTATTAAACTTGCACACTATTATTTTCTTTTATTTGATTTGGTATAATTTTTTTCATTTCTTGTGTTTATCATCTGTTTCTCATGAAGGCCTCATACTTCTAAGCCCAGAACTAGACACAGCATGCCAGGTGTGGCCTCACCAATGCCAACTAGAGGAGATGTGTCGCCTCCCTCACCCTGGTGGCATCTCTCCTAAGGCAGCCCAGGACACCACTGGCCTTCTCTGCCATGTGGGCCCATTGCTGATGTTTCAATGCAGCATCCACCAGCACTCCCAGCCTCTTTTCTGAAGGGGCCCTCAACTGGACCTGTCATTGCAACACTTGCAGAAGCCCATAGGATGTTGCTTCCTCCAGGGATTACCAAGTTAATAAGAATATTCTTATTAGCAGAATAAGAAGTAAACCACAGTGACAATATAACTCTCCACACTACTTAACTTCAGTGCTGACCAACTCCTGCCATCCCAGAATATAACCAGGGCAGGAAGGACAACTCACAAGCTGGGAAGGAACAGAAAATAATGAGTGTCATCTGCCAGGCTGACAGAAACGTAGGAAACTGATGTGGGCTGCCACTGCTGTGGACATAACACCATTTGATTTTGTGAAAAACTGAAAGGATTTTGTTCCAGACTAAACAGTAAAGAACAGGATTCTTGACTATTTGCACAAGCTATTAAAACATCGAGTGTTATATATGCCAACATTGTTTTTCACAAGAATCTAAATATTCATTAACCAAAACAGGTCCCCGCTAGCATACAGGTAAGCTGATGGGCACATTCAGCATACTTCTGCTTTTGTAGTCATTAAAACATTGTCATGTCTAGAAATCTGGCAGGCTGTATTTTGGATTTATTATTTAATCAACACATTGAAAAGATCATAAAAACAGCATTTTTCCTTCCTAAAATTATGTCAGTCCAAGGACTGTGGTCAGCAAATAAGTCCTGCAGATGTTGCAGATTCAAGTCTGTTATTTCTAGGATTGATTATTTCAAGTATTTATTTTGGGGTTTCATTGATTGCACCATTCAAACACCACAGTCTAGGACAGATGCTATAAGTCAGATCACATGCAGAATTTTGAGGAATGTGAAAAAATAACCCTATATATTTAACTCACCATAAATTTTCTCAGTGCTATAAAATGATTGCTTCCTGTTTGAAGGATCCTAAGAAGCAGTAAGTTGTACCATAGAGCAGCAAGTAAGAACTGAGCTTCTTAGCAGCCAGCCAAGGAAATTTCAGGAAACTTCAGGATTTAATCCTGCTTATTATCTATGCGTTCATAAATGTTAGTGGGAGTAGGAACAAAAGAAGTATTTATTAACAGTAGCCACTGCCCTAAACTGCATCCTTGTGCCCAAAATCACCAACAAATTGAGCTATGTCTCTTCTGCATCACTGTGATGAAAACCCTTTAAACTCTGTAGTGTTTGGGACACTGACATGGGGGCAAGACTAAAGACCTAGAAATCTTCTCTTTTATGAAGACTCAAGAGACACAGAGGTTTGGTGAAGTACCTTTGACTTTTCATCTCATGGAGAGACTCCTAAGTAACACAGAAAAGGCCTAAGTTTATCTTTGTATAAACTTTCCCTTTGCACAGAGAGATAGAGGAGGAGAAAGATATTAAGCTTTAGCTAAAAAGTTGTTTATAAAAAACTAGCTCCAAGCTGCTATTGGTTTTGCTTCATAAATCTTTGCCCATAATTCACCTCTACAATTTTTTCTCTCCTAATGATGAACACAAATTCAGTGAAAGTGACCTTAAATTCTGGCAAGAAGAAAGAAGAATTCTGGAGATTTACTGTGGGGGAAAGAGGAGTAGGGATAAAACACAGAGAATATGTCTGAAGATTAATTGCTTTACTTTTATTATTAAAATTCCTGCCACAAGATGTCTCTGAGCTAAAACTTTGTCTTGGTCCTGGCTCACATTAAGTTCCTATCTACAATATTATTGCAGCCATAATGGCAACAACATCTGCCTTCTGTGGCACACAGAGCAACTGGCCTGTGAGGCTCCAGAGGAAACTGTGAACTTTCCTACCTTTTCTTCAGCCACAGAAAACATGAGACCAGCCCTTGTTTTGCATCTTTACAGATGTATTGCCCATTTTAAGATAGTCACTTGGTTTTGTTTTACATTTTCTAAAAACATAGACAAAGCTAGAATATCACTATGGAAAAATAGCATATCACTACTATATACTGTAATTGTTCTTTTGATCTACAAAATATTCAGAAGGATTGTGGAGAAACTGAGCTAGCAAACAACTTCAAACATACCATATTACATTCTCTTCATTTTCACTTAATTTTCCTCCCCTGTTTCTCAAGAAGCAATTGTAATTTAAAACCTCACGTGTTTGCAAGAGACCACATGCATAGCATGTGGACCTGCAACATTGTTTAAAAAATGGAAGAATTATTATGTAGAAAATTCAAAACAACAAGTGTAATATAAATAGAATTATGTAAAAATAAATAGCTTAGCTTCTTCCAGCTGTGCAGGACCACAAGGAAGACTTCTGGATGATTAATACTTGATACATATTTGAAATAAACTGCAGATGGTTTCAGCTAGTTCTTGGCTAGTATAACAGAACTATTTCTAAATAAAGATAAGAGCTATATAAAGACACTAAAAAATTGAGATTAAAAAAAGTTTGTTTGGTTTTCTGATATTCACTGCGCATGAACATTTACAGACTCCATATATCAAAAACTGTTTAAGACTGGGACTGTCAATGAGAAAGATAGAAAGGGAAGTTATCCTGACATGTTTGTGTTCAACAAAGAAAAAATCCTCTTGCATGATACAAGAAAAAAGTAAAGAGGCAGGACAGAATTGACCATAGGTGGGAGTCCATACTTTGATATACTACCTGTGAATGCTTTTTTTTAAATCAGGAGATTAATCTTGTAATTTTTTTATTCCCCGTTGTCTTTAATTTCAGCAGTGAACTATTGTATTGCCTCATGGAGGATGTTAGCACACAGTTAACCCCTACCCTGAGGGCATGCACTTTGACAGGGAATGTACCACAGTACCAGTGAAGGTGAGCTCTCACCAAAATATACCATTTGCAGGGCAGGGGGCCGTGGGGAAGGCAAAGCAAGTCCATGCAGCCCATGGGATCACCTGCACCAGAATGCTGGGGACAGCATTCTTTCAAGCAAGAAATGCTACCCAATGCTACCACTCCTTATGTCTGCCCATTCTACAAAGCAGACACTTATGGGAAATAGAGACAACCTTTTCCTTGCCTCAGCCACTTGGTTAGCGCTTCTACTGCCTCAGAAACAGAGAAAAATGGGGCATTTTTTATCTCATAGAAAAGTAATGTTATGAACACAGGACTGCCAGCCAGAGATGCCAATAATAATTAATCATTTGGAAATGCACTTGAGTGGCTGTATTTACATGCTGATGCCTTTCAATATCTAAAATATCTATTAGGTGTTACAATTATGTATTTAATCTTGGAATATGAAAAATCTCTTCCTGGGTCTTGTTCAGCTTCCAAGTAAGGAGAGACCATTAAAAAAAAGCATTAGGCAATTCTTCATTTACTTGAAAGCAGGAGATTGAATTTAATCCCTTTTAAAGAATAATAGACACCATTATGATCGAGTTTCCTACATGCCTGTGCCTTTAAAGTTCCAGAAAAAATCCACAAATTTCCGCTGCTAAAATGGCCAATTGCAAAGTTATGCTAGATCAAATTGGGGGGGAAACAAAAAAAAAACCTAACAAACAAAAAAAAAAAAAAAAAAGACACAAACACAGGCAAAAGTCACAGTGCTGCGCAGCAGGAAGCTGCAAATATTTGGAGGAGAGATGTGTTGGGGAGCTCACTCAGTAAGGCTTCAAAAGGCCAATTTAAAACACATATGCTAGTTTATTAGAAGAAAACCAGAAATGTTCAGGCAGCACTAAGGTAGAAGTACCATTGCAGCCTTTCAGGTTTCAGAAGACACACTCAATAGTTTATGAAGCTATGTTTATGTCCTAGCCTGGACACAGATGTGCAAGGAAAATTATTCAAATTAGTAAATTTGTGCTGCAAGAGCAACCAGTGTTTGAAGCAGTTGTGAAAGACAATTCAAATTTTCAATTCAAAGGAAAAAATTAAAACTAATAAAGTCAAAACACTCTAGATTTTATGCAAATCAAAGATTTGCGTATTTTTTCTTATGAACAAGTCTATTGTTCCTATTTTTCATTAGAAATCCTTGCCTCAACAAAAGACTGTTGTTAGATGTAAAAACCCCCTTACAATTTTATCCAGAAAAGGCTAGTAAAACATTATCTGCTAATATGAAACCCATAACTGTTGATATAGCCCTGTGATCAAATAGTTTGCTGAGCATATATAATATATACATCTCTAAACAATAACAACAATAAAAACAGCAACAAAATTGAAGAGCAGAAAAAAATGTTTGTTTCAGCAGGGAGAATGAAAAACATCCTGGAGACAAAATTGTAGTATCCTCTGGGGTGCAGAACAAAGAGTTGATTTTATTGGGAAAACAATTACAGAAGTCAGATATCTTTAACTTTCAGAGATAAAAGGCTTCAAGGGGAAGAGGCTCTAATGGCATACACTGAATAGATGCCAGGGATGGCATTCTGGTGCCTACAGGGACATGCCTACATCTCAGTCACCCAGCTTAGGCTCCGTTTAAAGACACAGGGAAGCAGCCAGTCTCAGAAGGGAATCCCACTGATTTCACCAGTGAACAAATGAAGCATGGACTGATGGTCTCATTTACCATCTGTACACTTGTCTGTGTGTACATATAACCTCTTCACTACCTTGAAAATCAATATCATAAAAGTACTAGAACCTCTGTACTGGTATTTTTCTTTGTGAAAATAAACAGCATATGCATGAACATCTGTTAATGTAAATAATTCTGAAATATATTGTTAATTCTAGCTTCAATAATTGCTTCACTGTGACATTTGCTGCAATAAATATGAAATATCTTGAATCTATTTTCAAACAACTCTGCAATAAGCCAAAAACAGTTTACAATTTAACTTTACTATCTCAGTAGTAAAGTTAAATTAAAACAGGCTGAATTGGTTTGTTTGACAGGAATTGAACATATACTTAGCTGGTAACTAAATTTGTCCTATTTCCTTCCCAGTGCTGAGTTTTATGGACTGTCTACGATTTTTTTTTTTTTTAGTAAAACCAAATTATTAGCTCGTAGAAAGCTATATATTAATTTAACAGCACTTCTCATCTGTTCTTAGGCACTACTTGTGCATACAACATTTTTGTCTGGGTTATTTTTGTTTCTTGTAGTGTTGCAGGGCTCTTCTGTGAATTTAACACCTGGCTGAAAAGCTGAATCCAGGATGTCTGCAGTCAACAGCATTTCATAAATGGCTTTCCCCTTCTGCAGCAAGGTATTTCATAAACATTTTTTAGGACAGATAGTCATAATTTGACATTCAAGGTGTGCTAGTTAAATAGGATTGATCACATAAATTGCAGAATACCAACAGCCTGAAAAATACTCTGAAAAAAAAAAAAAAAAAAACAAAAAAAACCCAACAAAACAGAACAAAAAGCTGCAAGGCTTTAAATCTTTGAGGGAAAGTTAACAGAAACATGGTGTCACTGCAGAAGCACTTTCTTCTCTGGGGGAAAATATACCTTGTCTGTTGGAAGATTGAGGCTATAAAGGGTATTTTTTATCTTGGTGTGCCATTAAATTGTCATTGTTTTACTCAGCCAGAAGACTGATGTATGAATCTAGGAATAAATTAGCATGTTTCCATTCAATTTTTCATCAGGAGGTGGTGTAACCACAGTTTACCTGTAGTGTATTGATCTGGATGGATGCAAGTCAGCTGGGTTTTGTGTTATCCCAACATTGGTGAGGTTATCACAAGCAAAACTGGTATCAAAATTGCTACAATAAGAAAAAAAAAGCTTTTTTTTTTCCTAGTAAAAGCAGTTTAAGCCCATTTTAAGTAAATTCTTACCACTTCTAATCAGGTTGATTTTAGGCCAAATCAAATAAACTCAGAGTTCAAAAATGCATTTTCTGGTGCATGTTCCTGTACCACTGAAGCACACATTCATTCAATTTTCAAAAGTGCATACACACAGTCAAATTGCTATTTAAGTGATTTTTTTTTCTATCTAAACTCAATCCTACAGAAAAGTCTGTGCACACATTCACTGTATTTAAGAATTTCTGCAAAGTCTTCAAAAGAAGACATCTCAGAAATTGCTAACAACTGTTGACCAGAATTATCTAATGACATGATGAACCTGATAAATGAAACAGTATTCATTGACAGAGAGAATACAAAAGTGATGTCCACTGTGCTATTTCTCACAGCCCACCACAGATCCAGAGGTCAGCAAAACCTCTGAATAGATAAGAGAATAAATATATAACAGAAAACAACAGAGTGTAGCTCGTTGTTTGAGCTAATTTGACTTTTATGACATTGTACAGTACATACTCCATCCGAGTCTGCTGCTCCTCTGCATCCTTCCAGTGTAAATTATTAGGGTTTTTTTCCATTAAAGATCATGAAGTCACAGAAGTCTTGAGTTCCTGAAAACAAATGGGAAAGAAATATATGACAAGAGCTCATGAAATCACAGCTTGGAGAGAGTATAAAATGACTGTTGACCATCAAAAGAGAAATTAGGGGCCATTTCAATGATAGGAAACAGCAGAATAAAATCAAAATACTTTTTCACACTATGGGACAATCAATCATGTAACACATTGTCATAAACTGCACAGATGTCAAAAGTCCATTTTAAAAGTTTAGAAGTTACAAGGGAATCCCAGAAAAATGTAGAGACAAATAGCTAAGAAATACCAAAACAAAGTAAAACAATAATGTTATAGAATAATTTGGATAAGAAGGTTCCTTAAAGATCATAAATTTCCATTTCCTCTGCCATAAGCAGCAATGCTGCATAGTAGATCAGGTTGCCCAGGGCCCCAAAACCAAACCTTTAAACTGCAGGCGTCTTGAATCTGGAAGTTTACGTCTGGGAAACTTTGCGAGATGTTTGTCCTACTCTTTTACTCCTCCCTGAGAACGTGCTGTGGGGCACTAAGATGGCATATGAAGGTGGGAAAGCCCTGATCTGGACAAGTTTGACTATTCCAATGCTCCCATAAGCCTCAGGTCAAAGTACACAGTGACCAGGATAAAACAATAATATTAATAAAGAAAAAAATAGTCCATGTGATTTTCCATAAATTTTATAATCCCTGGTTCCTTGAAATTTATATTAATGGCCCATATATGTTAATATATCCAAATTGGAAATAATAACCCCTTTCAGAAGCAAATCTTTCTTACTGCTTTTTAGAAGCAATGATTACACCATGCGTTACCAATTTAATGGAAAGAGTACATTTGGCAGAAACATATTTAGGAGAAAAATGTGAGCAAAATTAAAGTACAGGTATTAAGCAGATTTGACAGTAGGGTGCGAAAGCAGCATGAAATTAAGTTATGCAAAGAGGTAATGTTTAAAATGACTGATCTCCACCAGAGTGCTACTGCATTCATGTGAAATATTCTGTGCCCTCAAATGCATAACAAAGAGCATGCCAGGCTCCAGAGGCAGCAGAAAAGATTAATAAAGTGGAAATGCTGAACATGGGGAGCTGAATACTATTTTGATTAAAAGACCAGCCAGTTTGATAAGGTCAGATCACGTGACACTTTAACACATAAAGTATCCCTTAATACTAAGGGCAACATTAAAAACTGGTCTTTGACTTGAGAAGCATGAAGAGAGCTTGCAACAACATCACAACATAATGGCATTTCTAATTTTTTAGCCAAGTTAAAGGTGATCTCCAGGATTTTAATTCTGAACATACTGTCTTGCACATCTCTATTCCATAGGGTTTTCTGCTTGAGCCAACACTGAGTCATGTCAGTGTCTCACAGGAGGAAGAATAATTTTAATTAAGTGACAAAGCTGGACAATAGAGATTAGGGTTAGGGTTAAGTTTAGGGTTCTGGATGCTACACAGCACCCACTTTATCTCTAATTCCTACTTTTCTAGGAAGTATTTAATTTGTAGGTTTTACATGGACTAAAACTATGCAACATTTTTGCTGTTTCCCTCTTCCTTTTACTGCTGCTTGAAGATGGAAGGAAAATAAAAGAATTTTACATATTATGTCACAAAAATAGGCACCAATGTAGAATACAGAAGAGGAAACAGACTGAGCCAGTAAACCCACCACAGCACAATGCAGTGCCATGAAGCAATGCTGGCACCCATCTGGAAGCAGCATCATTATGTTCATGTGCTGTATAGAGTCTCACCCAGGGATGCTTCTACCTGTCTTGGTGAAAAGAACCAGAGAAACCAGTAACAGCCTTTTCATTTCCCTGCAGAGAATAGTCATGCCTATGAATTAAGCTCTCTGAAGTGGTAGGGGTGAACTGAGATATTCTCATTTAGTTTAGATGCTGTGAATTTTCTCTGGGTTCCAGTGAAGCCTCTCAGCTCAAACATGGGTAGTGCTTGATGATCTTTCAGACTGTTGTAGGAAAGAAACAGCTTTGACTACAAAATACTGTTGCACAGCAGCTGCTGAACCTCCACACACAGAAAATTTGTGGTCCTAGTGGAAGTAAATTAAAATTTTTCTGCTTTCACATCAATTCTCCTATTACGGCCTCTTTCAGGTTTTGATGAAGTTTGTTGGTATAAAGATTGTCAATTTCCATTGGTAGCGCCGCCTCAATGAGATTCATCTTTATGGTAATGGTTTATTATTTTTATTACTTTTAAACAACATATAGACAATTAAGTATTATAACCAGTGACAAACAGCAATCAAGGTTTCTCATCTTCCCATGCTATTGTCTCATTGTCATTTAATTAACCTCTCCTTCACTGCAATGCCTTTTGAAGGTTCATAAATTTTCACTTGGACTCAAAGCAGTCATCAGATGAATTCTGCGCTGAACTGCAATGATGTAACCCCCAAGTGATTATGTTTTGCCATACAAATGCATGAAGCCTGTAACTCTAATAATAGACCCTTCCCTTTTCCTGCACTCTAGTATATGTTTTCCACATAAGCCTTGTAGTCCTAATATAATTTCTATCCACAAGACTGAAACTGACAGAAGAAAGAGAAACTTCGGAACTTCTGGAATAAACTGCTTTATGATGTAACTGATATTTGTTTAAACATGGAGTTACAAGCGCTCCATGGTACAGGAGCGGCAGAATTGTAGAAGACTGCCTTTGTGCATGGTAGAAATTGGTCTGGGTTTTTCTAAATAGGTACAAATTTTCTAAACATGTTCAAATTTCATCATAAGCAAGGCCTAGAACATTAAGAAAAAAAATGACAGCAAGTATATGAATAAATTCTGTAACAAAACAAATTTTTGCCATAATTATCCCACAGAAATAACTCTTGGTAATTTTGTATAGTCCTTTGCATTTGCAATTTTTCGGCCAATTCTTAGATAGTCATTAGTCTCACAACTCCCCATTTCCCAAACATCATTATCACGAGTTTAGAGAGAGAATTTTCTCACTGAACAGAGCAATTTGTGCAGAGACATATAATTAAATAATAAAATACAAAAGCTAAACTCCTTGCCTCTCTTCAAATTAATTTATCATTTTCCACTTTCAGTCTGTAAACAGGGCTACAGACTGAACTAAACAGATTGTCCCCTGAGGGAATATTCTGGGAAATAAGAGAGTAAGAGTACTCTTTCAAAATAATAAATGCTGTTCTTTGCCAATTATGCCATATAGATGAGAAATGCAAAAGCAGTAAGAGGAAAGAAAAAAAGTAACATAAAAAGGTTCTTCAAATGCTAACACACAGACAATAAGAAGCATGTTAAAGCAGCCTTCACCAAAGATGGGCTAAATAACCTAGTGCAGGCTCCACACAAGAAGGTGATTTCCAAACAGGAATTCATTTTGATGATATTTGTCTGATACAATGACAAAATTGCGTGACCAACTCCACAAATCGAATTCACAATGCATCAATAAATGCTTAAACTCTCTGCTCATTGAAAGATAAGGGAGCTGGATGTGATTCTGAATTCCAGCCAGCTAAGTAGTGGGAGGTTTGTATTAATCATCACAAAATTATGAATGGAGGAATGAATGTGCCTGCAATCCACCCCTGTGATTCCTTGTCCATTTTGCTGTCTATACCGTAACATCTAGGTGAAATCAGTATTCAAAGCCGTTATTTTATACACTGATTTTTTATTTTAAAAAACTATTCCCTTTCTCCTTTTAGAAAAGCAGTGACCAGTTCCCTTCTTCCTATGAGAGCCCAACAGTTAGGCAGCACCACAGCTATCCAGACAGCTTGGATCCTATACCCTCTACATTCCTATGTACTTAAAATCATACCTTATGCATCCCAAGAATAGGCATATAATCAATCAATAAGCCTAGGATTAAGCTATAGAATTATTGGAGAAGAATCTTGCTCAGTCTCATAAAACAGAATCAATTACTCTGTAAACATGTCCAGGTACAAACCAGACAAGAAAAAAAATTGTTTAAAATATCAATCAATACCACTGCAAATGTGTATTTGCAGTACTGGCAGCTGAACAACTGACCATAAATAATTTCCAACTGGCAATTAAAAAGGATAACTTTTCAAGCACAACATTTCATAACAGCTTCCTAACATAATGAATAAGAACAAGAAAATCTATCCAGGCTTTAAGATAGAGCCTGAAAATTTTCTAGGGGGATTTCAGGAGGTGCTGGCAGGTGACTTGAGCTACTGACCCAGAGTTCCTTCCCCTCTATTTCTATGCTCCTGCATAGCAGGATCTCAAGTGATGTGGCCCCTGGCTATTTAAATGACTAGAAGAGCCATTAAGAATGTACATATTAAAGCTGGGATAGAAGATACTGACTAATTGACATTAAAGCATTTAAGTAGACACTGAAAAAGCATGCTATCATCTCAAGCTGTTTGACAGAATGAGTACAAATAAATTCACAACTATCCCTGTGAATCTGAGAGGGTATCTAGGGGAAGAACCTACTAGCCCTACAGGTCTATGCTTTCAAGCTAAAAGAAAAAGTAGTCTCATCCAAGGCTTAAAGGAGTGAAGGCAGATATTTAGAAGTCAGGGAGTTAATTTAAACTCCTGAAGTTCTATTTAGGCACCATACGGTTGTATTTTCAAAAACACCTGGATGGTTTAAGAGCAAAAGCCCTGCTCAAAGGCACTGGGGCATGGACACCTTAGAAACTGCTACCCAGCTGAGGGTGCATCTCTCTGAGAATTAGGGTTTGTGCCATTTCATACAATCATAGTTCTGCAAAATAACAAATAATCTCTAAGCAGCTGTTGACATTCTCAAAAGCTGTATTTTAACGCCTGGCAACACATGGCAAAAGTGACTCGTTGCTTTTCCTGTATGCCTGAAGGGTGGCACTTAGCTTGCTAAAAATGTACCCTGCTGGGCTGAACATAGAACCTGTGCCTCACTTTTAAAGTACAATTGACCTGCAGGGAAGGCATAACCAACCTCAGCTCAGCATCACCTACTAGCATGTA